AAGGTAAAAAGTTGTTATGGATGTGTTGGGGATGGCGATGCGGTGGGGAGAGAGTTTAGGGTTTGTGGAGGGAGGGAACAATGCGTGTCTACGGCTATTCTAAGTAAAAAAAAATTAAACTTTATTAATCTAACTTTAGTTTGAATTGAATTTGATATAATTTTATTTTTAGTTTTTTAATGTTAAGGAAAGAAATTTAGGAGGCATTTCATTAGCTGAAAATGGGATTCAGATTGGGAAAATAATTATCTTTGAAGTGCTTTACATTATGTGATTGTTGTAGGTTAAATGTAAATTTTTTTTTTAATGTTTAATTTGAAATATAATGGAGTTAATGTGATGTCGATGGTAACTGTGGGTGTTTGGAGATGCCTCGTGGCAGCGAGTGGGTGGCAACATTTAGGAGTAGTTTGTTTGAATGCATAACATATTGTTTAGAAACAAAATAAGAATTTGAAAGTATCAGGCTCAAATGCTCATCATACCTTAAAAAATTGATAGCGATGTTGGCTACAACAATAATATATACCTTTCGTTAACTAATAAAATTAATAGCAAAAGTGTTGTTATGATTAAATTTATGGATTCAATTGTGAAAGTTTAAAATTCTCTCCTTATTTAATTTATTATTTTAATAATTTATACCAACAATCATCGTACCTATAAGGGATGGAGCAATTTCTCAACTCACTGTGATTCTCAGGAGCCTTTTCGGGTAGCTGAGATGTCCTTCAACTCTACATTCTAGTAAGATTCAAGCTTCCAAGTATTGACACTTATGATAGTACTTTAAACTTATGAACATATCGATCATCATAGAACTGTCATACATATATAACGAGTTATTGAAGCACTTCGCTATCAAGTTTTTCCTACCATCATTAAAGCTCAGGAACATACTTGGTTGTATTCATTCTCAAGAGAAACTACATAGTTTCGATAAACTTGTTAGACTTTTTGTGGAGAAATTTATAACAAATTAAAGGGTTATCAATGGCTCTTCTTTTTAGAATTTGTCAAAATGAAGAAAAGTCACTCAAATAATATTTTAAAAAATTCTCTATTAAGGATTATCAATTTTCAAGAGTGGATCCAGAGTTGCTAACAAGCATTTTTATGGGAGGGCTACATCTCTAACCCTTTTGCTCATCATTAATGCGAAAGTTAGTTCGCTCTTATACTTTCATCCATTTTGTTGAAGATCAAATCATTGCAGACGAAGCTATTCACACACATCCAATGCAGTTTGAACAATCTTCTGGCAAACACAAAACACACTCTTAGAGAAGTTGACCAAACCACACATGGAAGGAAGCAATTGATGAAAAACACTATCAATTTTAGACGTCCGATCATACTCAATTGAACACATGCAAAAATAATATTTTAATGGAGATTCATGTTAAGTGGCCAAAGCCACTTAATAATTCAAATTGTGGGTACTAGTCTTAATATTGTCATTATCATCATTCAAAATGACATCCAATAAAAATATACATTCACTTAAAGGAAGAAATTGAACATTTGATAAATCAAAGCCACCTCTATCAATACTTACAAGAACTGAGTAAGAAAAATCAGAAGAGAATGATCATAATTATCAAAGGAAGAGTACAATTACAACATATCTTATCTTTACAAAAGACTTATTGCTTTTATCTTATTATAAAAGTTTCTTGTTTTATTTCTTAAAAGATTTTTTGTCGTTTTTGCTAATAAAGGCAAAAAATTATCATTCAGGTCAATTTTTTTTAATGATTTTTTTTTATCAGTGAAATTTTTTTATAAATTATAATGTCTATTAGAAGACCCCTTAAGGGTAAGTTACAAAGATAATCTCTGCTTATATCCCTATATAACATGCCCATAAGGTATTCTCAATGGGAAGCTAATAGTGGATACAGTCTTTTCTAAGAAAGACCACTTGAGGGTAAGTGATTTACATAATCTCCATTTATACTCCGTTCAACAATTTTTGGGAGCTAGTGAATTGCACCACGAACAACCTCTTGGATTATGTGGAGCAAGTGATTTCCCCTACTAGCAATCCATTGAACCACCTGAGATTTGAATCTCTTAGGACAATTTAGTACATTCAAATCTTCAACTTGATCTTCAACAAACAGACGATTGACTCCAAAGAGACGATATGATCGGCTTGGATCAGATCGACCTTTGTAAGTCCAATGATGGAGCTTTAAACTTCTCCGAGGGCTCAACATTAGAGATCTGCTGGAGGAAGGCATTCTCCAACTAGCGCACCACCTCAGTGTGCCTGAAAAGTTGTATGTCAACCTCCGTTAACCCAACACTATCCTGTTCCTGGGAGTCAGCTTCCCTATCGAGAAGGAATCTCCTGTCATTGTTCATCGATGCTTCCTGGGGGTTTGGCTCTCTACCCCTTGCGACCGCTTCCAGCATGACCTTCAATATTCTGTCTGTCATTTGATTCTTCAACTTTTGAATTTGTTGTTGCATGAAATCCCATGTGTACTCCATGTTTGTTGTACTCCTTGATGTGCTTCTGCTCCTTGTTATGCTCATCTTCTTGTTGTTTGCATTGCATCTTTTAAGATATTGAATCTGAGATGTCTTCTAAATCACATCCAATAAATATAATGTGGTACATGAAGAAGAGAGAGAGGGAGAGTGATCTACTGATCAGTAAAATGAGAGAATTGTGTAACCTTTTATTCATGAAATAATTCTTTATTTATTGACATAGAGGTACAAGAATTGAAGTTACATTTATACTTTTATTCAAGTAGGATATGTATAGGTTATTCTACGGATTATATCCTTGTGGGCCTAGGGTCGTGTCATTCTTTGGGTCGGTCAATTGCGGGCGAATAGATGAAACAATTAATTTTGTTGTTGGCCTTCTGGATGAGGCTCTCAATCAGCTCTTCAGATCTCAAAAACCAATTTCTGGTGACGGATGGTGAGGACATTTCGGTCGGCCAATATTAGCTGGGCGGAGGAGTTGGGCCAGTTTGTATCTGGATATTTTACGGTTGGCCTGCCTCTGTCATGTCATTTCTTCTTACCGCTATTGGATTGTCTCAAGACTCGTGCTCACATTTTCTGGGTACAAATTCAAAACTATTTCCATATGTAACTGATCAAAATCAATAATAATTAGACAGGTTAACCAATTTGCTTTTGAATTAACTGCCCAATTCAGTATTAATTAATTTAATTTTTGATTTTATTATGATGTCAAGAAATAAAAAAATTTTAAATAAAAATTTGTCCTGAAATTTTGATGGAAAATTATATTCAATTATTCAACAGTAAAAGATCAAGAAAATTATCTATAGAATAGATTAAAAAAAAATCATTATTATATCATTGAAACAATAATAAAACAACTTTTATATTTACTATATAATTTAATTCAACCTTTTATTCAATTTCCATTGAATCCCTGAACATTAAAGTCCTTTCCTTCCTCCAATCTAACGCCCATTTTACTCGTTCATCCATTCCACCCACAAAACACAAACGACAAATTCTCCTTCCCTTCACCACAAAAATGAATCAATCACAATACAAAATGAAAATTATAATTCATCCAAAACCAGCAGCCAAAAACAAAAAAATCCCTCAAACCAGCCCGCCGCTGTACGGCACCCCCGTCCTCGGCAGCCAATCATCTCCCATTATAAAATTGCTCACCGTAAAATTCGCCGCATCACTCCCATTCCTCAGCACATGATACCCGGCCCAACCCACCCGCCCGCTCGTGTCCGAGCCCGGCCCACTATTATCATACTCCGCATAATACAACGTCCCCAGCGCAAAGTCCCCATCCCATTCCAGCCACCCCGCCGGCTCGATCAACCCGCCCATAAACGCCCTCATTATCACCGTCCTCGAATACTGCTTCCACGGCCGGCCGAGGTACGTCTGGGTGGAGCCATTGTCCGCCGCGAGATCGTCGGAGGGGAGGAAGCCGCCGCCCTGGATCGAAATCCCCGAGTTCTGGTTCGGATCGATGCGGCCTTGTGCGGTGATGGTGTTCTGCTGGCCCTGCATGGGAAGTCTGGAGTACATGTTGCAGTTCTGGAAGACGACCGCGGAGTTGCCGAAGATGTAGTCGACGGTGCCGTAGATGTCGCATTGGGTGTAGAATTGGCGCATGGAGTGGGTGTAGAGGGTGTCTTGGTAGCCCTCGAAGCTGCAGTGGTAGAAGGTGGAGAGGTCGGCACTGTTTCGGAGGGCGACGGCTTGGTGTTTTACGGCGCCGGCGGTGTTTTGGAAGGTCATGTTGATGGCCACGAAGCCTTGGCCTACGACGGCTGTAATACGGGGGCAAAAAAACAAAGAGTTAGCATCTGTTAACAGCTAGGTGTCGGACGGAAATGTATTTTGTATTTTATTGGAGGGTTAGCATCTGTTAACAGCTAGGCCCGCGTGTCGGACGGAAATGTATTTTGTATTTTATTGGAGAAACACTTGTTTTTTATGCTATAAATATTTTGTTGTGATTATTTGTCATATAATTAAATTTAAACTTTTTTTTTTAGAATTTAAATGTTTTAACTATTTATTAGGAATGGAAAAAAAAAATAATTTAGGCTTTTGCCTCTTCTGAAATATCACTCACTCTCACATTGAGTCTAAAAAATGAGACTAAATCCGTCGTTGATATATATATATATATATGCCAAAGTCATGCATAAATATATATACCATATTTACTTATTTCTTTACGACATGTAGGATTATAAGTAATCTCTGCCCTCATTCATGTAAAAACTTTCAGTTCGGACTTTGGATGTAGCTCTACATGCGAAATCCAATAATATGCCGCCAAGTTAATATTTCGGGGTTATTTCAATGTTATCGAAGTGAAATCACAAACGTTATTTCAGGGTTATTGCCGGACTTTGGATACGAAGTGAAATCACAAACGTTATTTCAGGGTTATTGAAGATAAACTCATATATTCCACTTTAATAACTCTGAACAACCGATGTTATTTCGGGGTTATTTCAGTGTTATTTCGGGGCTATTCAAAATAAAGTCATATAATACACTTCAGGAACCTTGAAATATTGAAGTGTAATATATGAGTTTATCTTAAATAGTTTCAAAATAATCCTGAAAGAGCATTCAAAATGAAAAAATAATAATTTTATATATAAAAAAGTTATATGTTGAATCAAAATCAAAACATGAAATTATGAACTGACCAAAAGTAGCCGAGTTAAAGGTGGTCCAGCCATCAACGTTGTTATGATTCCCGGTCACAACCGTCCGATTAATCCCTTCGCCGATCATCATGATATAACGCTTATTCTTCGGCACCGTCACGTATTCCGAATACACGCCGGCGCTCACGACGATCAAATAATAACCGTCGCTGCCGTCTGTTTTGTTCGGCGCCGCCGCCACCGCATCGCTTATGGTGGTAAAATTCCCCGTCCCGTCCTGGCTCACCACCACAGTCGCGCTCACGAGAACTGAATCCGACGACTGCAGCAACCGCCGCCCCGTCCGGCGCTCCACCACCGCTCGGTTTGCTTCCGACATTCTCAGCGGAAGCTCGCCGTCGCTGCCGATTTCTACCTGCGCGTGTAACTTGCTTAGCTATTTTTATGTTCGAATTTGAAAATACTCGCAAGACTTTTGCGGTTAAAATACCAATTAATTTAACTCCTAAAGTTTTTCTTGAAAAAAATCATTCAAGAATGACTTTAAAACTTAAATTAATTTGTGATTTATTTTAGGCTGTGTTTGACAAAAATTTATTCCATGCAGTGTCCGATCTAAATCGTCAATCATTGTGATCAAATTTTTTATAAAAAAAAAAAAAAGTAAAAAATGGGGCTCATAAAAATACATATTTGCAGTGCTCGACGGTGGAGATCGAACACCGCATACATATCTGTATGCGGTGTCCACACTAAATAATTTTTTCGTGTTTGATTACAACTTAGATTTACATTAAATAGAATTAAATTCTAATCCGATAAATCCGGATTTATCAAATTTAAATTGCAACAATTCATCTTGTGAATGACGGCAGAATAAAATCAATCTTGCAGTCAAATTTATTTCATATAAGCGACGGAATGCATGAAAAAAAGATGTAACACGAGAAAATTAAATTTAAGACAGTATTATTAGATATAATTTTTTTTATTAGTTTGCAGGATTTAAATTAAATTCATGATTAAATTCAATAAATAAGATATTTACCAAACACCTTATTTTATAAATAGAATATGTTAATCACATTTTTATTTTATTTTAAAAAAAAAATATTTTCTAAGGTGGATTATTGGAAAAAAATGATTAATTATTTCAATAATTATAATGGAGAAAAAATTTTGATTTAAGATATCTTTCATAAAATTTAAGTGATGTAAATAGAAATTATTAATAGAATTATTTTATGATAAATATAATAAGTATGTAATTATTTATATTTTATATTAAAATAATTTCAAAATAAATCTATTATATTGAAATTTAATTTTATCCTGGATCTGGATGTTCGCGCCTATATTTGTTTTTTTCCTAAAACCACGTCATGAAGTAGGTACCAAATTAATATCGAAGAAAATGGTTTTCATGCATTTTATGACTTGAAAGGATAATTGGAAATTGGAGGAGATAAGGATGAAAATATTGCGATAAAATTAGTTCAAAATTATTCAATTTAATATATAGTTTTTCAGGAATTTAAAATACATGTACAAATAATAATTTTGATTTAAAAAATCCAATTTAATATATTTTAGAGATGGTTTAATATATAAAGATGTCAAGAAATATCTTGTAATGCTTAACTCAAAATTATGAAGGAAAAAAAATTGATAAATTAATGAAATATAATATTAGGGAAAAAAAATTACACTTCCCGAGAACAACTAGTGCATATAGGGGAGTAAACGAGTCGTATACGAGCGAGTCCAAGCTCAACTTGTCTTTGCGTTTGTGTTCGGCTCATTTGCTTAAGGAGTCAAACACGAGCTGTTCGTGAACAAAGAGTTGTTTGACAACCGTAGTGACACTGTTGTACGTTGTTAAGGGTTTGGGTGAGATTTAAATTATATTATTTATATTAAATTACCATTTAAATAAAATTTAATATATTTTTATTCTATTTTTTAAAGTAATATTTTTATTTATTTATAAATCTTCGTAACCTTATAATCAATCATTTAAAAAAAAATATTGCTCCTCAATTATATAAATATATATATTATTGTGTCAAAAGAAGCAACATGATGTGTCTAGTACTCTTTGATCGTGTTCAGCTCATTTATATACCTTGTATAAAAAAATTATTTATATTCAGCTAACTTAACGAACGAATCAAACGCGAGCTTCTCACAAAATGTTTCGACAGCCTTAAATGCATTAAGAGTATAATCGTCATACTATATGCCAACACACCTCATGAAAAAGCAGGTTCCTCCTCACCGCCGTCGGATGAAAGACCGTAGCTAAGCGCTTTATCAATGGCGACTTCTTTGACTTCCTCCGATTAGAGACCCAAGCCTTGGTGAACAGCGCGAGCGAAACGCTATAGAATTTCGTTCCATTCACAATCGAAGGTGCGAGAATTCCGGCGGCGGCGTTGGCCTTGTCCGCATCTTCCAACCCCTCGAGACAAGTTTGTTGGTTTGTAAGAAGCGCGGAGAGGAGGGTTTGGAGCTGCTCGGCTTCGGGGTCGAGGAGAGCCGTTGAAGTGGAGTTAAGAGCCGAGCAGGCGGAGGCGAGAAAATCGATGTTGAGGCCGGCGAGCAGATGGCAGTCCTCGAGAGCGCGGGTTGTCGGCGTGGGGAGAGACAAGCTGCGGCCAAGGTAGCGATCGATGAGTGAGAGGAATTTGTAGGCGTTGGCGAGGGATTTAGAGAGGGAGAAGCGGCCGTAGGAGTAGAGGGGTTGGGAGCCGTTATGGGGGAGGATGGAGCGGCAGAAGGAGGGGTCGGGAGTGGAGTTGCAGGCGGTGGAGGGAGGGATTGGTGTGGTGGAAGGTGGAGGAGGAGAAGAGAGTTGGGCTAGGGTTAGGGTGAGGAAGGAGAGGAGGAAGAAGGTGATGAAGGTAGGGTTCATGTTGGGGTTAATGGGTAGTGGATCTTTGGATGGAGGAGTGATGTGGGGGATTTATTGAGGAGGGTGATGGCAGTTTTGTAATATTTTTAATGGTTAATGAAAGACATTTAGGTTGGGTTGGGTTGTTTTAAGTTTGGGGGCTGGAAATGTAAATGAAATTGTGGAGTCAAAGAAATTAATTGGGAAATTATTTCCTTGTTTGAATGGAATTTTAGTTCCCCGTTGGAGCTTAGAAGAGAAGAAAAGTTATTGTGAGCAGATAAAAAGTGGTGTGTGCGCTTATTTCTTAAGTAAAAAATATTTTGTTCCAATGTTTACATGCCCAGACAGCAAATCACTGTTGTGTAGTACCGAATAAATAGAAAAATGATCTTTGACGAAGTAAAAAAATAGAAGGAGAAAATTAACATTAGAAAACAATAACACACACAGATTTATGTGGTTCGGCAAATTGTCTACGTCCACAGAGTTGCAGAAGATTTTACTACTTGAGGAATTTACACTAGTCGATCGTCTCGACTTACAAGAGAGATCTCTCACTTCCTTGCTCTCTCTTCTTCTCTCTCCACATCGAGATACGCCGAAGAAAATAAACTTATAAGAGAAATAAACTCAATTTATCTTCTGCTACAAGTCACTAAGAAGAAGCCAAGGGATAATAATCTTATTATTCTTCTTTTTTATTCCTTCTGCCACAAGGAATTGTTACTTGTACTTTTCTTCCTCTATCCCGAGGAAGCTCGAAGAAGAACACAAAAAATGTCGTGTTGTAAACTGAAGGAGAGTCAATATGATTCCTTTTATTGTGAAACCTGGTGCTGGAACAGTTGAGCAAGGATGAGTCGCGATTAGGCATCGTTTCGCGAAACGTGGAGGCGGAAGATGTCGCGACAGACAGCGGGAAGGCTCCGAGTTGCGAAACTGGCGAAGCGTCTTTGCTTCGTGTGTGCGTGGAAGCAGGCATAGGCGCGACCTCCTGCGATCGGAAGCAGGAGTCGTGAAAAGCGGGAGCGAAATCGGGCTCCAGCTAACACACACAGATATATATATATATATATATAT